CACATTTCTGTTTCCTAATGAACAAAAGAGATCCCTGCTTTTATTGCATCTTTAGTAACGTGACCCCTCTCTTACAGTTAGTTACCCAAACTCTATTTCAAGGCTTTAATTTTACTTCTCTTGGCACACTGAAGACCATTTTAAATGGGGAAAAAACAGCAGACATGTGAAATAAGAGCTCTGATTTAAAGATGTCAACAACTGCTGTTCAGTCTCAAGGTCCCAAAGTATTGTGGAAAAATGTTGGAACACTTTTTCCATCTAAAAGTAGCGAAGACGTCACTTAAAAACCTCTAAAATGTATTAAACAGATCTCCTTTTCCACATTAAGAAACAATCATATGATCAAAATGAATCTAACTTTTTATTTTCCCAATAAATTAACAGCCCACTCCTAAGTTTTATACCAATTCAGGTACCAAGAAGCTATGTTCAAATGCCTGCAAGTATAATTTGAACAATTTTGTTACATCTGCTGTAATGAAATTCAATGGAAAGATAGTGTTTAATGTTCCCAATAACCAGGTTATGAAGTCTCATTACAGATGCAATGTTCCTTGCTAAAAGACACCCTGTTCTACATTAAAATTCCATCAGGAGAGACCCATACAGACACAGCACTGTTCTTTTATTTTCAATTTAAGAAGTGAAGAGAGAACATCAAGCAGAACTCTTCATAAAAATCTTCCATTCTTCATGATGCAAGAGTTACTGGGTCACTAAATTACCTTTAAGAACGCATTCTGCACCATTGTGTGTCTCTGAAAGAACGTACAGACTTGAGTACTGCATAGAACATTTTGACCACCCCACAAACCAATTAACAGTAAATTATCATCCCTTTTATGATACTGAAATACTCCAGTTAGTAAAGCAAAAGTAAACCAGCAGATTCATTACCTCTATGATGTCAACTTTTTCACACAGTAAATGTGCTTCTCTCAACTGGATAATGTTTGCCCAGTCTTAAAAGGATCCCAGAATATTCAGAGTTGGAAGGGATCCATGGGGATCATTGATCCAATCCCTGGCCCTGCACAGGTACCCCAGCAATCCCACCCTGTGCCTGGGAGTGTTGTCCAAACATTTCTGGAGCTCTGGCAGCCTTGGGGCAGTGACCTTTCCCTGGGGAGCCTGGGCAGTGCCCAGCACCCCCCTTCCTGAGACCAGCCTAAACCTCCCCTGACACAGCTCCAGCCACTCCCTTGGCAATGGCAGAAAAAAGCCAAACTGCCTCAGGGTGAATCTCAAAACTAAATGAAACATCTGTTTCAAAACCACAGCTTCACTTTGCTTCAAGGAAAATGGAAGTAAAGGAAGGCCAGAAATAGCAGTGCCCTTTCTCTGTAGAAATGCCACTGTCAAAGCTGGGGAACTGGCCTAGCTGGGCTCTGATCTGGGCCAGGACAGTTCTGCTTATGCATTTCTCATAGAGCCCAGCCTCATCCTTCCTCATCCTGCCTGACTGCTGCTGGACAGAGTCCTCCACATTTCCGTAAGTATTCACTGACTTTATCAGCCTGTGAACAGTCCATAAAGTTTCCCAACACACAATCTGGTCATTGCTCTGGAGTTCCTTGGAGCAGCACACGACTGCCTCTGCTCTGCAGTCACGTCTGGTAAAAATTCCCACAGTGGGGTGTCGCAGGATAATACAGGATAATAAGGGGAATAATAATAATGATACAGGATACAAAGGGGAATTTCATTTGAACAGAGAGATAGATGGGCTGGAGGCTGAGAGCAGCTTCACCCCTTGCCATGGCCCAGTGGCTGAACATTGTTGAGTGAGCCCACAAAGCTCACATGAACCATCCCATTTCAGGCCCTCACTAAAACCAGCAGCAGAGTTTGAGCTGTATTTCCTAGGTCTGTCCTTCACTGATGCTTCTCTGTGGGAATCCAGAGGGCTACCCCCAAAATCAACTGTCCTGGTGATTAAAACCAGCAGTGTTCACTTATTTGTATTTGGGAGTTCTATGGGTAAGAAGGTTTATCTGGGGAATTGACTTCAAAGCTCTGTATTCGGAAAATGCAATTGTTTCAGCTTGGGAAATGTTGTGCATTACAATTAATTTGAAGACCATATTAACGTCAAGAAAAAGGAACAATGTCTCTTCCCCAGACTGCAGCTTCCTTCATAAACTTTTTTTTTTTTTTCTACAAGAGCATAAATTATGCAAAACTATTCTGGCTATTAGGAGCAAGGCAGTTGGGGGAAATGCCTGATTATTTATGACAAGGTCCAACAAACTTAGGCTGGACTCAAAATGTAAGCATGGTGGGTATTTCAGAATGGAAATTCAGAAATTACATCAACCACTTTTTGTAGTGTTACTGTAAGAGTGAATTAACTGAGTGAAATTCACTTTGTCACAGGTAAATAGAAAGCAAGTGGTCACACAGCAACTCCTTCTCAAGGCAAAGCTGAGTGATTTATAGCTTTGTTGTGGAGGGATCTCTATTAAATTGAAATGGAAAGAGAAGAAGGGTAGATAATGTGAACTCAACATTTTTGGGGTCTCAGAGATTCTAATAGCCTCAACACATGGGCATTAATAATGAAAATCTCATTTTGGGAGGTATTTGATGCCTTTATTTTTCTGAGGTTTTTGTGTAGTTTTTGTTGAGTTTTTTTCCTAAGAAAGCTCTTTTACCTTACTTAGAGAAAACATTGCCTCTAATTGTTCCTTCAAATTCAGAAAGCTACCCAAGCTTCCATGAAAGCAACATTATTTTTTTGGAGACCTCCACAGTTTTTATCATACCAGCACTGCCTGTCCCTGGCTCAGGCAAATCCTCCAAGTTCCATCAGCATTTACTCAGGAAAAACAACATCTTCTATACCTTTTTGTATTAATTTGGTGATAACCACAGAATGTCTTCTGCACCATTTCAATTTATAATGAGATTTAGCAAGTCTTGTCAAAATTCTGTTGTGGGATACTTGAGCCAAAAATGCAGGTCAGAACTTAGAAATCTAACAGAGATTCTAAACCCCCAAAAATCCTCTTATACCACAAAGCATTGTGGTTTTGGAATTTCTGTGGCTATTGAATCCTAACCTCTGCTATTCTGGTCTCTTACTGACTGTAAAATATCTTTCCCTCTTGTAGTTTCAACATTCACACCTTGTGTTCAGATCTGTTTACCTTGCATTTGTCTCTGGCTGGGTTACTGAAAACGTCATATTCAGGGTTTTGCTGTACTGTAAGCAGTTTCCTCTCTGAAATGTTTTTAAAATTCTGATGGGACATCTCTGCAGTCTTAGAAAGTTGCAGCAGGTTCACTCTTGAATGTATCTGTGAGTAGAAGTCAGCTGCATCTGTGTGTGGACAACAGGAGAAATGAGAATGCTGCTGTGCATGTCCCAGGTCCCATTGCCTGGCAGAAATGTTACAGGATTGGCTTAGCAGGATCTCCCTCAAAGCAATTCTCATCAGGGACTTGCCGTGAAGGCTCTCCCAGTATTTATAGATACATACACACAATAATTCATAAGACTTCTGAGTCTGATAACACTTAGCAAAACTATTATTCCACTCTCAATCCAATGGCCTTCTCAAAGTATATTAATTTCCAATGTAGGCCTCCAAAAATTAGTTATTTGCATGAATATATTTTAGAGAATAAACTAAGTACAGTGGTTTTGTGTTGAGCTGTCCTTGCATATTTTTATCATGCTGATGGCCAAAGATTCCGAACTTGTTCCCATGTTTTTCTTGATCAAGAATTCTCAGGTCACCGTGTCCTAGAGTCACAAGCTGTAAAATTGTGACAATCCCATTTATTTTGTATATAAAATTCTTTCAAGCTCACTGTTTAGAAGTGATGAGAGTTTTATAGTAAAGCCCATTCCATTCCAATATAATTGGTAATTTTGAAGAGTGGATTTGAGCTGCTTCCATCTGACATACAGAAAGGTTGTGCAAGTTTAATTGCCGTGTATATCTGAAGCGAGCAAGCACCCACCCGTTTGCTGTGTCCTTCGTCCCTTGGCTTCTTTCTCCTGCTTGGTCTCCTGCCTCTGCATTTCGAGAACATTTTTCCTTCATTCTCTGTCTCACTACTGGGGATTTACTTTGGTGTTGTAACTTCACTTTAGGCCACGTTCCACTGCTGAGGGCTTCTCACAGGAACAACTTCCACAGCGCGATAGCAGGCAAGCTTGATACTCATTGGACTAAACCCCCAAAGGGATAATCTTAGTCAAATCACTTGCATAAAGTTCACTTTTATGGTATCTTAACAGTGAAAAAGCACACCGTGGAGAAAAAAATAGGTTAATGGTCTCAATAAATCTTGATTCATTTGTATTTTAGTGGTGTTATCCCATGCAAATCCAGTGGAAAATTTATTTTGGGTCTTAGGAGCCTGAATGTTTGATAAGGGAAGAATTCTACTTGAATGAAAATACTTGCAGCAATATGTGTTGTTTTGCTTAAATTTATTATAAGACTACGTATCCTGTAGAGTATAAAAATCTAATAAACTAACTATGGTACAAATGAATGGAACCTATTACTGTGACCTTAAAAGTAATTTTAAAAAATTAAAATATGCTTTTTTTAAAAAAATAGCATCCAGATTGCTCATTCCTCTAGGTCATCAGAATCTGTTTGAATACATGAAGTTTTTAGGGTCATCTAAAACAAATAATTTAACTTTTTTTTCTTAAAATTTCACTTGGAAGAGAGTTTAACACTACAAAATGTTTGGTAGAATATCCAGTCCTCTGTGTGTTTTAAGAAATTTGATTCCTGCATTGCTAGAATGTTCATAGCTCAAGGATCCTTATCTTTTATGTACAATTTTTACAGTTGATGGTATCCCTTAAAATGTTTTAAATTCAGTTAAATAACATAGGACCAAGCTGAGGGTTTAGTTATATTCATAAATCCTAAAATCTGATCTTATATAGGGAGTGCCTGGGGGCACAGTTTGACCTGTTGTGTTTAGGCAGAATAGTGTTACTAGAAATAAAAATAGATGTCATAATCTTGAGCTTCAATTTTTACATTTAATGGTTTTATAATGAAACAATATGAAGAAACACACTGGTACCTTACTTCAGTAGATAATATACAGTATCATATTTATGGTAGTAGGAAATGTTTAAATCAGAAATAAGCAGACCAGTGAGTAGAGAGAATAAATAAAACTGCATTTCTAGAGATGGGTGTTGCAATGCAGAATTGGGGCGTTTATTTGGTCTTCTGTGGTTTAAGAACAACGCTGCAATAGGATCTTATGCATGAAAATGAATGTGGGGAGAGCTGCCTTGTGTTGATGTAGTTGTTTTCAAGGTGAACATGTTCCAGGTGGGAATCCTCATGCTCCTCCTCACTGTGGTCGTGCTCATCCTCGTGGTGGCTCTGAGTCCTGCAGATGCGTTCTGGGGGCACCGTCCTGTGGCACAGGGGAGGAATCATGTTCTAATCATTCCAGATAACTCTTCACTTCATCACTTCCAGATAACTTCATCACTTATTTTAGAGTTGCTGTCTATTTAGATATTTGAAAACGTTAACTTCATCAGTGCATTAAATTTTCTCAATTATGTATTTACTGAGGATTTTCAAAAGCCATTCTTTTGAACATTCTCTCCTCGCATTGCTTTCTCATTTATATCATATACTGAGTTTTCCTGAGGAAAGTATTGCCATGTGTTGCTGAATGAAAACTTTGTCTGACACATGGGAATGCTCTCTTTGTCATTCCTTTGCTTTAACAAACAGCACAGAGGGCCTGGACAGCTGGGGCTGATGGAACCTGCTCACCAGGTGACTCCTCCCACTGTTTTGTTATCACTTGGGGCTCTGCTCCAGGAGCAGAAAAGCTGGTGATTGCTGGTGATGAGCATTTTCAGTAACTGTGAACTTCAGTATCTCACTTCTATCATATTAAGAAATACCACAGAAGAAAACTCAGGATTCAGCTCCTCCTTCAGATTTTTTAACAAATATTTACTTTAAAATAACAAAATCCTAAAGCAAAGCATGTCTTATTTATTTTAATATCATTCATGTAACAAAGAGCTTGGAAATTACCTTATTTTATTATTGTTCAGTCTTAGAAAACGTAGTTTTCTCATTTCATCAATCCCAAAGGGTACAGCCTTCAATTCATTGTGATCCAAAAAGAGCTCCCTCAGGGAGTGGTAAGCTCCAAAAAATGACACTGGGTCAATGCCATCATCAGTGAGCTTGTTAAAGGACAGGTAGAGATACTCCAGCCCAGGCCTCATGTGGCCAAACACATAGCCTGGAATTCTCTCAATCTGATTTCCTATGAGTACCAGATGGAGTAAAGATTTTGGCAGGTAGGAGGGAACATGATACAACTTATTATAAGAGAGATCGATTGACTCCAAGTTCCTGCATTAAAGAACAAAAGAAAAAAAGGCTGAAACCCCTCTGAGCTCCTGCCCTGGCAGTGCTGTGCTCTGTACAAGGCTCTGCTTCATGGCATTACCAGGGAATGACATTTCCAAGGGAAATTTGTTTGTGTCAATGGGGCAAAATGCGTGTTATGGAACATGGTCATGCATAATTGCTCTGGGAATAGAAATAATTAAGTCATGAGTTACCAATCAAGCACAATGTTTTTGTTGATGGGAAGAGATCTCCAATAATGAGGATGGGGGGGCTGGGGGGCAGAACAGGGGAATCCCAAGGGACTAACTTGGGATTGCTGCAATAATGAGTTACACTGAAGAACTGGAATAACCTTGGGATTTCAGTCGTTATCCCATTAACAGGGGGTTTTAAGCTTTGTTCTGAAGCCCTTTTGAAACGGAATTGTGTGAATGAATCAGTTCCATGTGCTTCACTTCCAGGCATGAGAGATGCTGTCAGTAGTACCAGCATGGTTGTTTTCAGCTTAAGGAATTTACAAGTTCAGGAATCAAGTGATAGGGCTGCAGCTGCCAGTGATGGCCAGATACCCTGCTCAGCTTGGCAAATTATTTAGCAGGAAAATCGAAAGCACCATCATCTTTTACTACTTACACTCTCATTGCTCACTCTGCTTATATTCTGCTCTTAGACAATGCAGCTGCACAATCTTCCCTTCATCTTATTGACTTTTATAATTTTTAATCCAATGGGAAATAAGGCTAGGGTAGTATTAAATTATTTTTAAATTACCTGTGAGATAATTATGTATCAATACTAAATTACCATATAATTGTATATAGTATAATTTATAATTAATGTTCATTTTTGAACGGGTGGTCAGAAAAAAATATTGACTTTTATGTTAATATGGTACAGATTTGAGGTAGAAGATCTTTCTATTTGACAGCTGACTGAGTATCTTCTAGATTATACAATTAGGCAAAGGAAATTTAGAAAAATTAGCAAAAGAAAACAAAGCATAATTAAAACTCTAAGTTAAAAGTAATGAAGTGCAAATATTTATTTGATTATTTGACTCACTAAAAAGAGAGAAAAAATGAAATAAATGTATTTTAAATGTCTGATACTTACTCTTGGTTTATCCAAGCCAAAGGTGCTATCCTGTGCTCTTCTAATTTGTTATGCTTTAGCCCAATGATGTTGATGTTTCTGGTGTGGTTAAAGCAAATTTCTGACACTTCTTCAATTTGGTTATGTTCAAGATATAACTCCTGTAAGTGCATTTGGGAAGAAAATTTGTAAGATCAGAATAGGCTGGGTTTTCCCATTGCAAATTCCAAGTGCATCAATTACCTGTCCCCTGTATTCCCTGGTCTATTTGTTAATTCTCAGTCTGAACCAGAGTCAGTTTGTAGCTGGAGTGGGACCTTCAGAAACACAATTTTTCAAAGCAATTGTTTTGTTTTCTCATTTGTGAGAAAAGGGCAAATAGAAGGAATTGCATCTCTTTTGGTGTTTGTTGGGGGGTTGTTGTTGTTAGTATTTATTTTGGTAGTTTTGGGGTTTTTTACCTCAAGAGTGGCAGGAAGACCTTGTGGTATAATTCTAAATTTATTTCTTCCCAGTCGCAAATAAGAAAGACTTTTCAAAGGATAAAAGGCCAAGGGACTGACATTTGCTTCACTAAGTTTATTTCCTTCTAATTCCAGGGTGACCAAGTTCTTTAAATCTAAGGAGAAAAAATTTAATTTCAGTTAATTAATGCCATCTTATATCTTGTTAAAATACATAGTCATAATTTTAACAGTCTTAAACATTACCCAGATCACTTCATAGCAATGAAAATTAAAAATGAACTGATTTTATTATCTCAGAATCATGGAATTGATCATAAGTTTGTAGAGCTTTAGAGATTTACCACAGCTTTATTTATATTTTCCTCTCCCAGTCCAAATGGAAAGGGCAGCAGCTGATCCAGTTTAGATGGGACCCTTTTAGCAGGAGAGGGAAGGAAGCAAAAAAGTCCATCCAATTCTGACATGGATGGTACCCTTTCTTTTTTCTTTCTCTTTTTTTCTATCAGCCTGTGTTTAAACTGGCTTCAAATGATCATGGTTGACTCCAATTATATTCTCCTTTATTTTTCATGGACATCAAATTCTGTTCACTTCCATGCAGTTTAAAAATAACTGAAAGTGAAATAAAGGAAATAAACTTTCCACCACATATAAAGCCGTCAGGTTAAAGGTGGGGATAGTAGGTGTCTTCAACATGCTTCAAATTCACCTCCACTTTGTGATCTTAAATATAAACTGCTTAGGGAGAGGAGCAGTTGCATAAGGGAAAATATAATTTTAAAATACTTTCTCATGCAAGTCTTTCAGCTTGTGCTGACTTTTAAAGACATGGCACTTTAAAGCTAGCAATTATTTCTCTATGTCAAACCAGGTTCAACATTCAGCTTTTCAAATTTATTTTTGACTTTTTATATGATTGATATTTATTTTTTAAAATACCTTTTAAGCCATCTTCATCAATGGCATGAAGTTGGTTGTCATTTATTTTTATTTCTTCCAAAGTTGATGGCAATTCAGAGGGAATAAGTGCCAGCATATTTCCATCCAAATACAAACGTTTCAGCTTTTTCAGGATCTTATCACGGGAATGAAGAGCATTTATATTATTAAGGTGCAAAATATGCAGTTAAATATTAAGATTTTCTTAAACACATACTCTGTAAGGTTTTTCAGCAACAGTGCAGTAGTATCCAGTGTTCTGAATTAAAAACTTTTTTTTCCTGTCAGTCTAATTAATAGGTTACTTTCTGCTAAATATTAACAAAAGCGCCAGTTAATGTCACATGTAACTCAAAGAGCTTCCCCACAGCCCTGCTGCAGTTCCCCAGGATCATTGTTTGCATTCCTGCTGCTCTCTGTGAATTGTGGAAGTATTGCCTCACTACACCGGGCAGCATTTAGGACTTCAAAGTACATGCATTTAGAAATTATGTGCTTATCCTCTTGATCTGTGAGCAAACTGATGATTTTCTGTAGGTCAGCAAATTTACTCAGGCAGAATGACAGCAGCTTTCAGTAACTGAGGGTTATTATGCTTAAGCCAGCTTAAAAATTTGATGTGAAAAATTATGATATCTTAATTTTAATTCTTGATTATGGTGAGAGATTTCTCAAAGTAGCTATTTAATTATACAATGCTTACTTATACAAGGTGCAGAGTGTTTAGATCCATAAACTGAAAAGCAAAAAACATTATTTTAAGCAGCAATTACTGAGAGTGTAGCAGAGGAGTTAGGCTTTCTTACTTTGAATGCTTTGGGACCTATGCCAGGAGAGGTAATGTTATTTTTACTCAGATCAATCCATTCCAAATTAGGTATCCCATTGAAAGCTTCATCTGAGATAGTAGTGATGGTATTTCCTGGGACAGAAGGCAAGAGAAAAGTTTGATTTATGAAATACAGTCTGCACCTGAGGTGTGTAATATTGCATCTAGAAAATATATCACAAAAATAGCATTATGGACAGTAATTTTTGTAGATGTATTCACCTTAGTATTTAAACACTGGCATGAAAATCTAATGTTTTTAATTTCTTGTTTTAAAGGCTTAGCTGTAAAATTAGTTCTAAAACTTTTCTATATTAAGGAATGACGAAGCATTAACAGTGCTGTTGACTGCATTTGAGGGTGGATGATGTTACAAAAGTCATGCAAAGTAGACCCATTAATTACCTGTAAGGTCTAAACTCGTTAGGTCTGGATCTGAGATGGGAGGTATTTGTGTAAGTTTGGCATTAATGCAGCTTACTGTGGTGTCCGAGGTGGAACATCCAGATGGCAAAGGAGGAGCTTCTATGGGTGGAACAGGAATTGGGAAATGAGATGGAATTCTGAAAGCACCATCATCTTCATCACTGTCATACTGCACATCTCCTGCAGCTCCCGTCCTGGGGACAGGCAGCTTCTCTCTGTGACGCCCTTTGTGCCTCTGGCGATTCGTTTTGCCTTTCCTTTTTCTTTTCTTCTCCCCTTTTTTGTGACCCTTCTTGTCTCTAACCTCTATCACTTTTGTTGGAAGCAGCTCCTCCTTTTCCATTTGAGTTCCTGCTGATGGCAGAACACTGGTGGTGTCGAGGTCCTTGGGGTCTGGGGAGTCACCAGACAACTCACTGACATCATCCAGTGAAATTATGCTGGAGTCCAGTGAGGAGACTAATGAGGGAAAAAACAACAAAACAACGCAAAAGAATCTGATGAAACTAAAATATTAGTAAGCACTGTTTCCCACATACAATAGAAAATTATGACTATAGATTATTCCTCTTAGGATACAATCCAAAGAACAAAAATGTGTTGTTAAATTGCTGCTTGAGAAAAGAGACACCTGACTGAGAAATTATGGAGGCGACCATACAGAACAGTTTGTACACAGCTGCAATCCCTGAGAACTCCAGACAAAAAGGTGGAAAAATTAATATAGCTTTCATTATCTTCCTTTTTGACTGACTATTAATTATGGGGTTTGTGTTGATGGAGGTGTCTAAAGAGGAAAAATTATGTGTCTAGGAGTGGGAGCTAATTTGGAAAAAATTCACAAAGGTCAAGACTTATTCTCTTCCAAAAGGGATTGTCAGGGGAGGAGTTGGCTGCAGGTGGGGATCTCACCAGGGAAATGCATTAACTCCATTTCCAAAGTGCAGTTTTTACTTCCATAATAGGACAATTCTAATAAAAGGAGTTCAAATGTCTCAGTCAACATGACTTTTGCAGTTCTACAGTATCTCATCTCAGAGTGTCACATGCATATACACATGAGGATAAATATTTCTTACAGTAGGAGGAGACTGAGCTCAGTACTTTGCAGATATAAAATATTGGGAGTTGGGAAGGAAAGGAAGGAAATCACATCTTATGTTTATCTCCTCCATTCCTTTTCTTACTAAAGGTACCAGTTTTATTTAAATTATTGTGAAATACCAAGATTGTAGTTCTGGAGCTTCTCTTGTGAATTGACTGTCTTCTCTTGATTTACATCAAATTGCTGCATGTTTCTGCACTCCTAACAAAGATTTACCACTCTGTATGTCTAATACATCAATAATGGCCAGTAGTTGTTGATTGATCCTTTGTAAATGGAAGTGGGATAGAAAATATAAATAGATGTTATTTCTTTGTACATTTACAAAGTTCTGTAAAGGTAGGGGGGAAGTAAAAAAAGAAATACAATTATCTTTACTATTGCATATTTAGCACCATCTTTTCTTTAAATGTTGCATCAAACTCATCTAACAGAGTACTCAGAGAAACCAAGGTCAGCTTGAGTAGAAACTCTGAAGAGCTGCTTTTATCATGGAATTCAGGATAATGTGTACCTTGTAACTCTCGGGATCATTAAATGCAGTGTTTATGTAAGGTTTTAAGAATCTGTGGTGTCCCATACCAGTCTCAGAACACACTGGGCAGCACTCTCCTGCAGGAATGATGGTCTGGGGACATTTCAGAGGGTGACACATGGCTGTGTCACAGATCACCTCTCCCTGGGAGCACAGACAGGTGACGCAGGGCTGGGGAGACCACACGGCTTTGTCAAACATGATCATCCCGTTAGCTGTGCACTGCCCCTTCTTCCCTAGGAACAGAAAATGGGAAATGGCAGTTAAACAGCTTAAAGTAAACCAACAGTGCTCATTTCAAACTTTGGAAAGAAGCACTACTATTTTGTTCTCATTTTGAAAATATGTAAAATACACCCTATTCAAAGGATCTTATCATTATTCCTTACTTTTCATAGCTGTATTTTCTTCAGCTTATTAGTAATCTCCAGTTGTGGAAAATGTGAATATTTTTTCCAGACCTTCTTCTTTACCTCTCTTGTGCACTACAGATCTTTTCTAATATCTTGCACATTAAATGAGAAAATTTTATTAAGGCCCTGCAGAACTGCGAGGGTAACAATAGTCAGTTTATAGTGACAGTTCATGGGCTTGGTGGAAGTAAAGCCCATTTTGGGATGACTGATGAGATGGCAAAAATCTCCACTTCCCTGTAACTTACTTTATCTGAAAAACAAAAAAAACAAAAAAAAAAAAAACTTCTTTGCTAGAGAAGCAGTAATCTTCTTCAAGCAGAACAACTTGATGAGATATTCTGTCTCCCAAACTTCTGGACATGTGTCTACAAAAGATTGAAATCTCCCCAGGGTACCAGCTGAAATTTTCCTTTGCTAGAGAAGCAGTAATCTAGAACAACTTGATGAGATACTCTGTCTCCCAAACTTCTGGACATGTATCTACAAAAGATTGAAATCTCCCCAGGGTACCAGCTGAAATTTTCATAAAGAAATGTAATTTTGTACACTCTAGTCAGATATTCAGTAGGCAAGTGATCTGGAGAGCACAGAGACTTGGGAAGGAAACTAATCCCAGTCTTTCTTTCCTTCCAGTGGTGGAGTTCACCTCAGCAGAATCTTCCCTGGGCAGTTCTCACCCAGACTCCAGGATAAACATTGCACTTTAGCACATTGCTTTTTTTTTTTTGGTCTTTTGAGAGAAGGAAACCCAAGGCTGAGATTCTTCATCCCATGCAAATATTCCTGTTTTTATGTGTACCTCTAAATCTTGTTGAGAAGCTGAATTCCTCACACCGTCCTTTTCCTCTTTCTAATCGACCTAAGAATGCATTGCTGAAGTGTTATTTTGAGAGGAAAACCCATTTCCAAATTAACTTTGCACTTCCCTGCACATAAAGAAAAAGAAATTTCCTCTTTTCCTATTCAGTTTGACTTCTTCCTTCAGATGAAAATCCATACAGTGGAAAAATCTTTTCTCATCTGAATCTGCGTGCCAGGAGACTTTCAATTGTGGTGCACAAATTGCAGGGGTTCTTCGCAGCATTTCATTTCCCACACTCTGCCCTGCTCCATGCCTGGGTGTTTAGTTCTAATAAGAGTATTCAGGATAGCCTCTGAATAACTTTGTAAGATTATTGTAAATATTTTGTTTGAAATGTCTCTGGGATTAATATTTGTCTCAAAATGTGGCATTTTGCAAAGTCTTTCAAAGTAGTCCTACTTCATAACAAAGGTTCTTGCTTTGTCCTTCTACTCAAAGACCACTAGATACCAATCTGTTTTCTGCAATAAAAATTAATTGTCAGAATGATCCAGTTTGGATGATCCTCCATATTCCATATATTTTTAAAAATGCTTTAATTTAAACTGTTCTTGGGACAGAAAAGGCAAGAAATTGAAGTTCTGAGTAGTTGCATCTTGTTTATTCAAAGGGCTGGGACATCTCTGCCTCATTTCTGCTGCATAAAGTTGTGCTCTAAGCAACTCCAACCATGTCAGCTGGAGGAGGAGAGGAATTAGCCCAGGCCAAGTGTTAGTTGGCTTTAAGTCCCTTGTCATTCCACCCAGGTATCTGCAATCCAGCTGTTTGCTGGATCCTGACTTTGGGGTTTATGTGCTTGCCAGTACACCACAATACTTCTTTTAAATAACCTCCAAAAGAAACATAAAAAGAATCCTGCACTTTCTCATGTTAAACAATAAAACAATAACTGTTCCAGAAGAGCATAATCTGGCCTGAGAAGGAAATTCTTCTGTGCTTCCTAAAATTCTTTCTTTTGTTTTAGCTACCAGAGTGTATCAGAAGTCAGTGCAGATCTTGTCTGAATGAGCATAAAGATCTGAGCTATCAGGCTTGGCCTCTGCAGGCTTCTTTAACAAATGATCCTTTTTTTTCCTGTGTACATTAGAGTTTCATAAAAGGCAGGAGCAGTGTGTGCTCAAAGACAAAGGTTTTACCCTTTGGGTGCGTTGCAGAGCTGCTGTCTGGCACTGTTGGGATTCCCAGAACCACTGTGAGACACAAAAAGGCTGTGCTGAGATGCTCCTCACATTGCCTGACCACTGAGTCACTTCAGCTTGGTGGTGTGAGCAGGGAGGAGTGGGGGGTGAGAGGGATCAGAGAGGGTCCAGCAGTGAACATCCTGCTCTGCTCTACCTAATGGACAACTGCAAATTACCTCATGTTGTGGCCAGCTGTTTGATTTAATTTAAAGGTTCACATGGTTCTAATCTGGAGGAATTAGATATGTCTGGTTACTGCTAAACCTCCATTTAGCTGATAATTTTCATCCTGCACATATCTGTAAATTTGTGTGGGTTTGGATTTTTTTTTTTTAAATCTACTAAGAGCAAAACAAGTAGCTAAGAGAATGGAAATTAATGTTTGGATTGTATTTTCTTCTCTTCTGAAGCATGATTAATAATAGTGTTCTATTATTTAATAGGCTCTGTTTTTTCCAAATCTGACATTAACTTGAAAAAATTTTGAACTTTAAAAGCTAGACTAAAAAATACCTTGTGGTTCCAGTCTTTGGCAGACGAGCATAGGACTTTTAACCTTCGGAAATATGGTGTAAATTCAGCATGGAGTTCCAAACAAAATGAGTTCAGTGGTTTTAGCTCAGCTTTTGGATGCAAGAAAGAAACAAGCGGGGCGGGGAGGGGGAAGAGCTGTGCATTATTTCAGCATGACTGATGGTCCTGACAGAAACTCTGGAATATCTTACATGAAGTGTATGCTACTTACATGGTATTTTCCTCTGTTTAATTTTAAAAATATTTTTAAATTAGATGTTTGACATTAGTAATATGTATAATATTGTAATACACACTGAAAATGCCAAAGTCCAGAGTTTTGCTAGTTTTCCTACTCAAACCCCTTACTTTCAAATATTTGGTTTGAAATGGTTCAGCCTTTCTGAAGGAAGAACTCACAACAAACAGTAATTGTGGAGAAAATGTGGATGATATATGTTTGGCCATTTGAGATCTCTTAACCCAGTGGTCATGTCTGTTGTGTGACACACTGAAAGGCTTAAATTCTTGCTTATAAAAATATATTATTTTTATATCTAGCATATGGGAATCAGGGCATTCTGTTTTGATTTTTTTTTCCCATAAAATTCATTAAACTGCATATATGTGATCATATTAGTGTGTGATCTCTTGATGGAGGAATGGAAATATCTGTATCCATAATATACATATAACTACAGAGGTGAAAATCTCTGGATCGCCAAAAAGGCAAGTTTTATATAAATCATACTACTGAACTTCTATTAAATAAATCTGGGTTGTCAATATAGATGGAGCATAAGAGTGGTCTTCTGTTGAATAAGTAAGATTTTTTTCTCTTTTAACTCAGTTTTCCATCATAAGGGTCTCGTTTATAGTGTAACTTCCATATTGCAGGCACTATCAAGTTTTATTAAGTTATTTACAAAATCAAGAATTATTCCTGAAGGTTTGCATGTACAATTTGCTTTTCAAAAATGCAACCCATAAAGTAAAAATAAAAACTAATATATTTTCATTAACACTGTTGTTACTGGTGTTGAGGCCTCAGTGAAATGTTAATAGACTTAGGAGATATATTGAGCAATCCATTCTTCAAAATGGCCTTCAAGCTTGGAACACAAGTTTGGAACATGTTGGAAGTTACGAAAATACCCCAACAAATTTCTTGTTGGTTAAGATCAAAAAATAACGCAGAAAACTTGCAGGAAATATTGCTGTTACCTGGCAAAGCAGTGTTTGATAAAAAGCCTCATAATGCCAACCACAAAATCACTGCAGAAGGCAGCAGGAAGGTGCGGAAGTAGAGCTGAAATAAAGCTTCAATGAGTTTATCTGTCTGAAAGGAGAAGTCAGCCCCTGGGGAGCAGAGGGGCTGTGTTCTCACCTGGTAAGACACTGTAGGCGCTCTCGTGTTGCCCCAGCCCCACCAGGGAGTCAAAGACGCCCATGACGCTGCCGTCGATGGTGATGAGCGGGATCCTGGGCCCCATCCCGGCCGCCCTGGGGCTCCTGTGCCCTGCCCAGGGGCTCCCCCCCAGCCCCCTGGGGGGCATCCTCCTCCTCTGCCTCCTGCCAGTGCCGCCTTCAGCTGGGCACAAATCCCTGCACAGCCAGAGCAGCAGGAAATAACAGAGCAGCGATGGTGCCTGCATCGTCTATGGGTCCCACAGAGTGCCCTGGAATGGGAAAAAAAGAGGGAAATCAGGGACCTGGAAAGCTTTTAGGACCATGTCAGTCACTGGCAGCACTTTTCAAGGCAGGTGAACTAAGAAATTGTGGGTCAATATAACCAAGGTTCCCCTTGGAAAGAAATTGCCCAGAGAGCTCCAGTGACCAATTTGATTGTGGTGATTCTCGACAGTCACCAGCAAACAGGTGCTGGTTTGTGTTTGGGGTTGCACTTGAAGAGGTGGTTTAGGTTTGCAGTGCCAGAGGCATTGGCTGCTCAGTAATTGTTGCTGCTCCCAGCAAGGGACTTCTTGAGAGTTCTGTAAAGTGCATCTTCCTTTTTTTATTTCTTCCAGAGTGTTGTAACTTCTGAGTGTGGGAATGGAAACAGAAAAATGCCCAATTCATTTGTGATGTGCTGCCCCGAATGCTTTCGGGTTGGCATTTCTGTGCAAGGTGTTTTTTCACTGTAAATGAAGAGATGAGATGTTCCTTTTCCATCCATCTCTGGCCATCATCTTCTCTAACAGGATCTGCTTGGTTCTGCAGAGGAGACCTTCAGGAAGCCTGTGCTATTTGTGACATCCCACAACTGCTTTTCCAGTGGAAGTTTTTATGAAGTGTAGGCTCTAGTATGGTCGATCTAGAATGGGTTGTGTTCTGCATTTACTTATTAAAAAAATTCAAAATAATTGCACCTTTTTATGCTCGTGACAGAAAATTTACATTTACTGTTGCCAATAGGTGGCATTCCAAAACAGAGCAGTCAGGATTCAGGAGCACACACAAGGAAGGATATCCAGCAGTGGATTGCTGTACCAGTATGGAAATAAGAGCCTGTACATCCAGGGGCATTAATGATCTGTCAGAGCTGTGTTGCATAATTCTTTCAAAAAGAAAATGCTGCTGTCCCATGGCCTATTTTAACTGAGACAGCAGAGACAGGAGACATTTGTGTTCTTGGGAGAGTGAAAATTAGTGAAGGACTTGGAGCTCTTGGGCTTTGTGGCCAAGACAAGGCTTAGAGCAGGGCCATGGTTTTTTTCTGAGGAAGTTCTGAGGGGATTAAAAAATGCTTTTTCATGATGTTCATCAGTCTGGCTTTGCATGTCATCTTTCACTTTAGAGTTAATCTTATTATAATTGTATTGTGTAAATATTGGACAGTATTATTTCAGGAACTTGAACTGTGGTTTTGCCTGAATTAGATTTTGTTTAAAAGCTTGTTCGTCTTGGTATTTTCTGATTTATAGAACAGGTCAGATTTTTGGTACAAGTTGTCTAACTGTTCTTTAATACAAGGCATGTGATTGATTGCATGTTTTCCATGCTTTCCACATCATAATTCTAATATATATATTTTTATTTGCATGTTTTAAAATGGGAAGTTGCCAGCAAATAAGCTTACGAGTATGCATTTTACTTCTTTTTAATATTGTCGTTTCTGTCTTCAACTGTTTTAAAATTAAAATGTTATTGCAAATTTAGATATTAATTTGTAGGGCTTGAAGTTAATATTTTTATTTCTCTATGAAGGGAATTTGAGATGCAAGTATCTCACAGAAATCCTCACGGCATCTCCTGGAATGGCAGGTTTTGAAATGAATCCAAACTTTAGTTTGCTGCTTTTTGCCCCTCAGAAGTCACTTATTCCAAAATGCTGTATAGACTCTGTGGCTTTTTATTTACAGCAATTACTGTTAGTTAACATCTCTGATAGATGCAGAAGCTTGCCCTCTGCACTGAAAATGCCTGATCTTGTTGAGAAAGTGCTCATTTCTGAGTGCCTCAGGAGAAATGAGCCAAAGCCTTTGGTGTCTGCCTTGCGTGGTAATGAGAGGCTGTAAAATTACACAGGAAACTTCTGTTCCACAGGCTGGGCTGACACACACTGACAGCCCTCGGGGAAACTGCATGTACAAAGGAAAGGCTTGGCCATGTGTGTTCATTCTGTCAGGTTTCTGACATCTTAATTATGGTTCCATTTTTCTGGGATACTCTATAATAACACCAGAGCTGTGCAGTTACAATGCTGCTACGTTGCACTTGGGCTTTTTTAACATTTAACCATTTCTTCCTGTGACCAGAGGCACATAATGGCATGACTGAAATACTTTTCCATTCTCCATTTCTTTTTAAAAGTCAGGAATAATATAGAGTGAATTATGTTAATGTACATTAAAAGATGTTTTGCTAGGAACTTTGAGTAAAACTCTATAGTAAAGCAAATTATTATAAAGTGAAACTTGGTTTCATAAAGTACTTTATAAATGCACATTTTTAAAAATCAGAAACAAAACAACAGAAAACACACCACACACCCCCAAAAGAAGTCTTTATAAACTAATCTTGTTCATATATGTATGCTAATTTTTTACACCAATTTAACTCTTCAGCACTGAAAGCTTAATATTGCTACTTTCAACCAAATGATGTTCTTTGCATGCAAAACACTGGGCTACTGAGTTCCTTTCCTTGGCTTAGTGAATAAGTGCTGCCTCACATTTTAAGGCCCAAATTGTGAAAGGCCTTGGGTGCTTTGGGCCTTTCCTGCCCATGTCTGGGATCCTCAGATTATCTCTCAGGATATATTTTGTATAGGGCCAACCACCTTTTAATTTGGGGAAAATTCAGCCTGTTCGATTTATGACTTTTATAATAAAACATTGCATAGTAAAATAAAATTATAGGTTGTCAGTGTAATGAAATCATTAACCATTTGTGTTGCCAGATACTCTCAACATGGCTGCATTGCTGTACCTTTTTCATTTTACCCATAAATATTTAGATCAGGAACAGTATGTGAAAGCATCTTTATTACCTTTAATTTGTAACATGTTCAGTAATTTGTATCTTTATCTTCAGTACCTGTCAGTTTCCTATTATGTTAACAGAAATAGTTAATTTTTAAAGGAGAGACCCTTTAGAAATACTAGAATATCAGAATTTATTAAATAATCTATCTTCATCCATTCAGTCAAAATTCAAACACATTTCTAAGATGTCAGCATCATTTCTCATGACACACAGGGGTTAAAATGCTTTACCAAGATTTTTCACTCACTCTTTTTTAAATGCATTGCACAGAAAGCAGTTACATTTATCCACAGCAGCCAGACCAGTTGCACTTAACGTTAGTTTAAGTTGGATGTGCATGGCAAACATTCAGACAGAACAAAAAGCAGCTCAATGGGTATTGCACACTATTTAGAAAGGCATTTCTCTTCAGTATTGCTAAATATAGCCCACATTATTTCATTTCAAATATTACATATTTTCAAAGTTAACATGAAGTTTAAGCCATTCAACACCATGCTTTAAGCAGTAATTTAAAATGTAAAACATTTTACCTTGTAATCTAACCTAACAGCAGATTCTGCTTGCTGCCATTTAGTCTCCCGTTGCAAATGAAACAAAATCTCAGTGATATCTTTAAAACAAACAGAGAAACTGTAGGGATTGTTGAAACATGTGAGATGATTCCTTAGTTAAGTCTGGAATAGCTCCTTCCCCTGGGGAGCCGGGGCTGAGTTCTGTGTGCAGAGCCTCAGCTCTGCTGGTGCTCGGAGCGCTGGAACCTCGCTCGGGCAAGTGAGGAGCAGCACAATGCCTCCGGTCCCGAGGCTGACAAGGCACAGCTGGAAATCCTTTTCCAGTACTTAGAGTCACATAAGGAACAAGGAAATGGAGTGTTTGCAAAAGAAACAAAAAATGTGTATTTTATTTGGTGCTGTTTCTCTATTTAGAAGTTTAGTTTCCAGGTGGCATGACTTTAATGTAGATTTATATAAAATAATAAGATCTAATACGCTTTGGCAGATGTAATCTTAACATAAAAACATTTATTAGAATTAGAACTTTTTTTTTCAGTTCATGTTTCTCTAATCCCCTCCTGCATTTAAAGCCTGTCATCTATCAGCAGCAAGCCTTTTTGTTGAAGTTTTAGCATGGAAAGTTTTTCTTTTGTCCATTTACAGCAATGATTTCACTGCAAGTTGTAGCTTATGCATGGAAAATAAAACGACCAAAGCACTTTCCCTTCATTTTTTTCTCTTTGTAAGGCTAATTACATCCTGAAACATGATCCTGAAGCTCAGTTCTGCAAAAACTGCAGGGAAGTTGGTGATCCAGAGAGGAGAAGGGAGGGAATTAAGGGTACATTACCACAAGTCCTGTGCGTGCCAGCAGAGCCTTTTCCTGCATCCCCAGGTCGCTCCAAGTGTCCGGGGGCTGTGGGATGGGTCTGCTGAGCTTCAAAATGACAAATTCACCGGGGGCACCGCGTTTTCTGAGTTCTGCTGACATTAAAAATCTGTAGTTTCCTTGAACTCACAGTCTGAGGAATATCTAGACAGATAGTCATGGAATGGTGTAACCATTGAGTTAACCATAATTGTTAACTGGTGTGTGGTGGAAAGATATACTGGGGGAGCACATTGTCTCTTAAAATAGGCATCCAGCTCCTACTGTGCTCTGCTTTGCAAAGGCAAAAGAAGAAATATTAGACTTTGGTAATTTATCTGGAGGTGTTTGAAAGGAAAGAAGACAGTCACATACAAAAATGGAGTGAAAATCTGGATGGAAGGAACCTAAAAGTTTATCCCATTCTACCCCCTGCCATAGCAGGGACATCTTCCGCTCTCCCAAGCTGCTCCAAGCCCCAGTGTCCAGCCTGGCCTTGGACACTTCCAGGGGTTCAGGGGCAGCCACAGCTGCTCTGGGCACCCCGTGCCAGGGCCTGCCGACCCTCAGAATGTCTTCCCAACCTCATCTAACCCTGCCCTCCTACAGCTTGAGGCCTTTCCCCCCTGTCCTGTCACTCCAGGTCCTTGTCCCAAGCCCCTCTCCAGCTCTCTGGGAGCCACTTTAGGCACTGGAAAGGGCTCTGAGGTGTTCCCAAAGCCTTCTCTTCTCCATGCTGAACGGCCCCAAGTCTCTCAACCTGTCTTCATTAGTGAGATGTAGGTTCAGACACACCTTAAGAAATCCTTCAGTCAGCTTAGGGGATTAGAATTTTCACTGTATGTCTGCGAGGCCCTTGCTTATATTCTCAACTTTTTTTAAGGAAGGAGTAAAGACAGCCTGAGGAATCTGCAAAGACAAAATGCCTCTTCACGAGAAGGGCATTGCGCCTTCCTGCAACGAGCAGTAACACTTGAAAATTGTAGGAGCTGTTAAAGAGTGACCTGTGGCTGCCTGGTATCAAGAAGGTTTAGGATTTTTAATTGGAAAAAAAATGTGTATGAGAATGGGCATCATCTATTGCCTTTCAATAAGTTTTAAATCTATATAAGATTAATAATTAGATTGGCTTTAATGTTGTTATTTACATTAAAATTTTCCACATAAACTTGCCTGTCATGATAACTAAAGTAAAAATGCTGTATATTCTACTAAAAGTTCAGACTAGGATGGCAAATTTTTTCAGACACAGTTCAGGTAGTTTGTGTGTGAGTGCAAACACTGCTGTGTCCTCAGGGATCTGATATTGACTGGTTTTATGGGAATGGTTCATCCAAGAGCGCAGAGAAAGCTGCCAATCTCTGCTTCATCTGCAAGTCGTGTTGCGCCTGTCCATCCCATGGCCAGCCATTGGAATGAGTTGTGCAGTGGGAATGTTTTGGTCTGTTAAGATGCCTCAGTGCGGAATTGTGTCCCTTGAGGAGAGAAGAGGCAGACTAAACAGCAGGGAATAATAATTAGAATAACTTTTTATGATTTTATATCTTAGGGCAAACTGCCACTGTTGGTTTGTGTCTTGAGCAAGAGCCATAGGGTGTGAGAAATGGCTGTGGAAGGCTGGAGCCTCTGGCATGGATTCTTCCCTTTTCCTCTCACAACAAGAACTGTTAGTCAGTGTACAATAATACTGTTGTTTTCCTTTTTTATCAATTTTCCTTCTTTCTTTAGGAGGCAACAGAGGGAGGAAAAACATTCACTACTGTGCCCCTGTTCTAAACCTCAGAGAAGGTCAAATTAATGTATAAGTTAACAGAATCTGTGATGCTGAGAAGAGCTTATAGATTTTCATCTTCTGTTTGAAAGGCCACTTAAATACATGGTGAACGGTGGAACAGGAGGAATAACTTCTGTTTCTCAAAAGCCTTCAGGGTGCCTGCAGTGTAGTATGTTTGTCATCAAAAAAAGCCAGCAGGCTGAAGAAATAGAAGAAGGATATCTTGAAAATAAAAATCATTAGTCCAACTTAAGTATAGAAAGTATGAAGAGTCCAGAGTACTCTGTATGTATAAAGAGAAAGAGTTGAAATGACTGCTTATAGTCACAGCATACAGAGACCATGAAACTCAAGTTCTCTTTCATACCTTTCAGAAATGGAATCTTTTATCTGCAGAATGGCCAGACCAAGTGGGATGGGAGCAGGAATAACCTTCACTGAAGCAGTGGATGACAGGTGTGGCCTGGCTGAGCAAAGCAGAGGAAATCAAGAGTTCACTTCAGCCAGCCCTGACCATTTCTGTGCTGCTGGAATCTCCTCCCCACCTTTCGTGCGCCTGCACTCAGGAGCTGGGGCAGTGAGCTCCAGCCAGCTGCTGGGAGCAGGGCAAGGGGCCAGAGCAGGGCTTTGTCCTGCTGGTTTGGAAGGCAGCAAGGACAGAGGCAGCTCCTCTTGGCTGCCCAGATCTCATGATTTGCTTTACCTTCTATTCCTTTAGTCCCTTTCCTCCCCTTTCATCCTCACAAGTTCTTTTCTCAGCCATTTCAAAATATTCAGCCAAGATTTACAGCTTCCCTACTGACTCCATTTTGCAGACTTATACCTTTATTTAATAATTGCAATCTGGTTGTCCTATTCTCTTTTTCTTGAGCATCAAAGGAAAACTGATACTCCCCATCCTTCCTTTTTAACTCTGCAATATTCTGCCTTTGCATGTTACAGCCTGCTATGGGGCACTACAGGGCAGTGGCCGCCTGCGTATACAGGATTTTCCTTTTCTCATCTCTGTCCTGAAACCCTTTGTGGTATCTCCCTCGTGGTGCCACAGGTGAGCAGTAGCCATATGCAGACCTCTGATAATTTTATATGCTTGCAAAATATCCATTTCCTTGGGGGGAACCCCAGACCTTGGTACCTGTTACCATGTCTCACCTGGCACCAAGAGTACATTCTGTAGATTTAAATGTTCCACAGTCATCCTTAATTTTAACAGCTTTCTCTCACATTATATCATGAGTAGATATTTTACTTATGCCTCCTGGCTTTCTGTGATATTTACAGAAGGGCTGTGTTGAAGTTGGATCTGTTATTTAATTAAAACATTGCAAAATATCATTTCCATGAGTCAAAAAAACACATCCACATTCAGGAATGTGAGGTTATTTCTGCTATGTTCAAGAATTGGAATAAAAAGAGACAACTGAAAATTACAGCAGCAGTTTTTAAACCTTCCAATGAAATATAAGAACAGAATGACATTTTTAAATTGCTTTACTCTTAGTTTGTCATGCTGAATCCATGCAGTTGCTGACTGGTTTTGATCAGAGACAAAGACAGGATTCTAAATTTTGCAGTTACTTATGTGGTTTACTTTTTTTAACATCAAACACACAAGTTTATAGCTGGAAAAAAGTAGCAATGGGGAAAAAATTTATAACTGTTAAAGTCAGCACAAAACATCAGATGGGGAATTTGGGATTGGCAGTACAGTGCATTTCTGAAACCTGTACCAGTTACTGCATTCCTTCTGTAATCAGTGGTCACAAATATCCTTATGGAAAAAATATAGGAAAATATGAAATACTGCTGGTAAACCTTGAATTATTAAACACAGGTTTTCCTCACATATTTAAAAATATTAACAATACATTGCAAAAAGCATGGGGTACATTGTTAGGTGGGAATAAACCTAAAATTGCAATGGGAGATGTGTGTGGCTGGGATCTATGTACATTTTAAAAAGTTTAATTTTCAAATGTAACTGCATCCTAATTCCAGTGAACAGAATATTAATATTCATTAGTACAACTTTCTGAGGACACTAATTATTGCCACAACTCTTTGTCTCTTGTTAGGTTTCTGCTCAATCCCACAGCATCAGTTTTAATTTGTGGTATTCTTTTCTCACATTATATCTGAAATGCCAGTGACCAGACAGATGGAGTAATTTGTAAAGCCTTTCTTCAGAACTACCTGAAATTTAAGCTTTTACACATTGCCTCTATGTGCATTAGTGAAGAAATGCAGTCTAATCTTTATTAAATCATACCTGCAGCTGCTCCCTGTGGTGCTCCAAAGCAAGGTGCCCACCTACCTTGAATGAACACAGCTTTAAACCCCAGGCCATTGTAAGGAAATACGGAAGATTTCCCCTGTCCTCCTGCCTTTCTGCCAAACAATATCATTTCTTTTTTGGGGTTCAAATGGAGACATTTCCCTGTGTTCTATTTCAGCTATTTGCTGACTCATGTTTTTCCAAAATACTCAACTCAGCACATCCTCTGTTTCTGAAACCCAGCACATCTGTGTGTCTGAAAGAGCTCAGCCTGGGGCTCGGTTCCCTCCTGTGCCACTGTTGAGCATTGTTACTCATCAAT